TGTACACTTCAAAGGGCAATATCTTAAAAAGACATGTAGATCAACTACGTCAACGAAGATCGATATCGCAAGTTGAAAACACCGATTTAAAAAATAAAATAATTCCAATGGCAACTAACATACCAACCGAGGAAGGTATTTTCCTGAAGCTGAGCAAATTTGAGGAGTTTACAGGATTCACTTAGGTATCTACAAGATTTTGTGTTGTAATCTAGGAGGGAAAAGTGTAGTGTATTTGTAATGTACCATTAGTGAGATTAGCCATAAAAATAAAAAGCGAACAGTTACAGTGATAACTGCATGAGGCTCTGATTGTTGTTTTCAGTTAGACAGTAAACCGCTTTTTAACGTGTAACGGTTAATTCAGTGTTTGATTAACTGAAAAAACCACCTACCACCTACCCAACATAAAGCCTAATGTTTTAAATGCTAATTTTAAGATAAAAGCAATGTGTTCAGTAAAAGTGACATGTATGTCCAAATAAACTCCCAAATCCTACATTACACCAACTGACTTCAAGTCGACCACGTTTATTTTGTAATTAAAAATAACTGCTTTTTTGGTGTATCTATTTATTTTATATTTCTATATGTTAATCTGTTTATTTTACACCATTGACCAAAAACATTAAGATCATCTTGGAGATTAAGACAGTTCCATTCACAAAAAATTGTGCTTTACCCTATTTTTGTTTCACAAGAAATTGTGCTTTACCCTATTTTTGTTTCACAAGAAATAGTACGGTTCAGTGTTGAGCATTGTAATCGTAGTTTCGTGAATTTGCCTTGCTCTTGGTTATTTTGTTTAACTTCCTTAGGACTTCCTCATGACAACTAAAACATCTATTAATTCTTGAAACTTTATTGAACAACATCAACAACAATACAAATATGTAATAACCTTGTCATTCGTCCAGCATAACCTAAAAGTAATAGAATTTAATAATAGTTGGCTTACGGTATAAATTTGGTTTGTAATATATATTTGTTGGACAACGTGCCTAACTTACGTTTGTTTTATTGCTTTTGGATGTCTTAAATGATGAATGTTTTACTTTGCAATCTTAGTTCAAAAGTTGTTGGCGGGATCAGCAGTTATGTGCTGCTTATGATACCTAAAAACAAAAAAAGCGTGTATATTAATGTAGCCTTCATCTTTTAGAGCTGTGGTGGTAGAGTTATTCAGTTATTAATTGTTTACTTACTTTAAACGGGTTGACATTTGTATTGACGTAACGGTAGATCGAATGGTTCACACTAGGCGGCGATTTTATCGCTCAGCGATTTTAAAGCGTAAACTAGGCAGGTTCGTGTAGGATGCAATGTACGGAGCAACACTGTTCATATATCCGGCACCTGTTGTAGTTGCTTTCCTATTGGTTTAATTTTCGTGCCTAATTTGTCAAGCCTTTTTACCGCTATATATTGTTTAATATCAGGAGTTTTTATTGTTGTCAGATTTTTAGTAATTGTTTTTTCATTTGACATGGTTAGTTTCCATTTAAGAGCATATTTTGACATTTGGGATGGTGGTGCGCAGGTCTGGTTTTGGAAGGGGGACAAAGTAATGTAGAAGCCGGAAGCAAGTTTGTCTTGTGTTAGTTGTCCAGAGAATAACATGGTCGATTTTTCGCTCTGCCAAGTGAAACCTTAAGGGATATAAGACATGTTTATTCATATGTTGTTTGTTGGCAATTTATGGTATTTTGAGTGCCGGATCCTATCGATGTATTTCGGATATAACTGGATTTAACTTTACCTGACCAAACTTTGCTGGATCTACACCAATCCGCTTTTGGTATGATTTGGAGATAATTAAGATCTATTTCCTACGAAGACAAAACCCTTCTCGAAGGTAAGGTTAGTTTTTTCATCCAAGATGCAAATTCTTATGCTCATTTTTCTGTAAAGGTTTTAATTATGGTTTTTAACAAGGGTTTTAATTCTGGGCCTAGAGCCCCAGTTTAAGTCTCGAGCAAGATTATTGTCTCAAGTATAGGGATCAAGTTGTTTTAAGTCGCACCTCCTGTGTTACCCACGACCACCGGGATATTGGATATTGGCTATCATACACGGATGGACATTGACTGACGTACAATCCTTACAACTTTGTCTTACAAAGTGCAGAACTAAGGTCAGATCCATTCCTTTAACAAACAATTAGGTCCTGGTAGAATATTTATCAAACTTTTTATCATATTTAATATAATCTTCGATTAATGTGAACTGCGGGTACATTGGCCAATATACACGAAGGGTGTTTAACATCATACTGTAATACCAGGGTACTTTAAATAACTTGTACTTTAAATAACTTGTCTTGGGATCTGATTTAAGTATTTTTTTATATATATAAACTTCGTGTGAAATACACTTCGATTTTTTTTAGTAATTTCTTTTATTCTCATCCCATAAAAAAATTACTTGGTGCCCAATTTTAAAAGTTTAAAGGTAAGTAGTAATTACGATAGAACATTCACCCACGACCACCTGAGCTAGCGGGATTTTGTGGTTCAGAGTCTACGATAGGGATTCTGCGCTATAAATTTAAATCTACGAAGATGAACGCAGTTAGTAAACAACCGATACTCAGACCGATTTACTAACTTAATTGCTAAGAAAACCCTTAAATGAACGTCTTTAATTAACAAAGAATTTTAACAACTTCGATAAACACATTTTTTATTTTGGTTTTCTTTAAATTACACCTAAAGATGATCGTTATTTAAATGTAGATAGCAACCAGTCGTTGTCGCTGTAGTTTGAGACACCAGCTGTGTTGCCCGATGTATCCTGTAGATTGCAATTTTCCATTTTAATACCTTCAAAATTTGTAATAGAGAACGATTTAGTATAGGTAAGTTTATATATAAGAAATAAAACTTTATTTATTAAAAATTCTGGTAAATATGCAATTATATTTATGTTTACTTCATCTTAAGAACGACTCGATTCAAGCTTTCGCAACGTTGCGAGATATAAAATTTTAAACTTCAAATTTGTAAGCACAATTGACAATTAGGTATCTGAAAATAAATAATTATAAACAACAAAGAAGATCGAACGAACAATTCAGACATATGATTGACTAAATAGCGGAGAATAAAAGAAATACCTAAATAAAAACTACAACATTAAATTTGATGGGTTATGAAAAGGGTTGTTGCTTATTCTAGTAAGGATCCTAAAGCTGAAATCTCCCCCACTTGAATGTTGTTTATTGTGGAGTTTCGAGCATTAGTGAAAATTGATCAACCATATTTTGAAATGGGTCTGCAAATGGTCTTAGGTATATATATTGCAGGCAACATTTGTGCTTATCCCATCTCTTTTCTATGCTAGTGCTCCAAAGTGTTTTGCTCTGGCTTATATTTTGTCCCCTTTGTAAATTAGTGCTTTAAAGTGTTTTGCTCTGACTTGATTTTTCTTCTTTGCCGTCTGTGTGTGGTTTCAGGTTTACTTTTCAGTTGGATGTCAAGGTATTAAACTGTTATTTTGGATTGCTGTTTTTAAGAATTAGTTTTGAGTAGTTGGGCTTGGGAGTTTGGTTAAAATAAATTATGAGTTTAGTGGGTTGAGCTTAAGTCTTCAGATGGTGCATTATTTTTTCAATACCTGGTTAAGGTTAACAAGTTTCTTTTTTGATGTTTTTCATGGGTTATAGCAGTATCATCTGCGAATTGGAGAATATGACTTTTAAAGTCTATAGCAGCCAGGTTGACGATGTCTGAGTAGTATACATTAAAAAATTAGAAGAAAGGGGGGGAACCTTGCTATAAATGTTTTTGAGGTTTTTTGTTTAATTTTGATTTCCTATGATCTTTTTCGCAAAAAGCTTTTAATTATGTTTTTTTGTACAGTTTAAATGCACAGTCCTTTATACCAGAAGCTGCCAAACACTTTTTTAATATCTAAAAATACCCTGCTGTTTTTGTCCATTATGATTGTTAGAGGATGTGTTGTGGAGGTATTAGTTTTGAATCCAAATTAAAAATATTTTTAACTATAGCATTGTCGATTTTGTTTTTAATATTTTTTCTAAATTTTTACCAAAACTGGCAAGAGTTATAAAACTGTAGTTATGAAATTTACTGTGGTCAGAGTTGGTTTATAGAATTGTAATTATTACTTCGTTTTTCCATTCCTAATTATTGTGCATGATTAAGACAAAAATTTTAATTTTATTATGCACACATGTGTTCATGAATTTTGTAGTCTAGGTTTTTTACTACTTCATTATGAAATTTTTATGTATAATTTTGTCTTTACCTGGAGCAGTGTTTTAGTTAATATGTGTATTCATGGACCAATTTTTAAAATATCTTTTTACTAAGATATTTCCTGTAAATTTTTCTCTTTACTGCAACACAATTGCTTACTACTTGTTTTATTAGGTAGGTCAGGTTCAAACAAAACAAAGGCTACGAAACAATTACACCAATTTTCATAATTTTTTTTATTAAAAAACAGTATCACTAATGCAAAAGTTTCTAATGTAGGTTAAATATTGATGTAAATAAAATATTTCACATAGACAAACAATTATTACTGTTATTTCTATAAATTCCAAAGCACCATTGTAAGATATCTGGCATTTGGAACATCTCAAAACTTGTCAATACTGGTACATTGCCATAACGTTACAATACAACAACCTTAATTCTGGCAACGATTTTTTATTGACAAAAAACAGCCTAAACTCAATTAAATCGTTTAAAAAACAAAAAATAACATATTTTCATTACTAAAAACTTCAAAACAAAAATAAAAAAAGTTCAGAAAAAGTGGGATGGAACCCACGCCGAGCAGGTTGCAAAGCAAGGGACCTATCGCTCTTATCTACGGCCCTTACATTAAACGTTGTGTACGAAAAATTATACTACTAAGTTGGTAGTACCAACATAAAAATATGACAGTGTTTTGATGGATCATTTTTAAAGCGTCACTGGGACGGTTTTGCGCAACAATTGGTTTTTTTAGTGATTGTGTTGTTTTTTAAAATGAGTGGTAATAACAATAAAACAAACACCAGAAGTTTAAGTAATTGTCCGATTGTTGGTGCACCCTCTGAACTGCCAACTACTATTTTGCCGACTTTGCAAGACATGTTGAAGTGTTATTTGCTTATTAGAGATAAACTAAAGTTTGAGAGATCAGGAAAAGATCCTAGTATTTTCGAAATCGCTCAAAAACTAGCTGAGAGAGTCGAAATCATTTGGAGAAAGTCATTTATACCAACAGTTTCAAGAAATCGTATAGTAAAACTTATTCAAGATAATCATGTGAAATATTTACATCTTATTAGATATCCCCAACAAAAAAGGAATAAAAAATACGAACTTAAAGTACAGTCCTTTCGGGAGGATGCCAAAAAGCTCTTTGATATTGCTGCATGTAAATGTATGTCACATGCTTTGTGCAAATGCGAGAAACAACGAAAAGTACCAATTCTAGAGCATAAATTCATTCAAGACCAAAGAGCAACAAGAAAAATGCGAATCGGACCAGTAGACTTTACAGAAACAAAAAAAAATACAACAACGGGAAAAAAGGAAGAGGAAAGAGTTATCGAGACTTATGATTTCAGATAGTATTAGTCCATGTGATACATTTCGTCGAAGAGTAGTAATTGAGGAGCACGTATCACTTCTAAGCGAACCAGGATCTGAATATTTGGGACATGTTACACCAATATCGGGTTCTGGAAAAAGTATTTCAAAATCAATAGTTACTTTTCTACTTTTGGAATTGGAATTGAATCGACCTCTCCAATGGTTGATATGCCAGTTACATATGAATGAGCTTCCACTTCGCCATTTATTTCAGTCTCTTGATGGGCGAACAACAGGTCCTAAGGACTACTCTGGAGTTATCGGAAAGGCACTAGAATGCTGTGAGAATTTACGTAGATTATGACGCGATTAATGGCGATTTACCAGGTAAAATGTCACATGCTCGCTGGCTTACAACTGCAAATCGGATCTTACGTCTCTATATTGGTACTGAAAACCCGTCTAATAATTTGAAAGTTCTTTCAACCTACATCGTAAAAGTTTATGTACCTGTTTGGTTTATTATTAAAAAAAAATCTTCTTGTACTTACGGAGCAAGACATGTATTTAAACTAATACAGTTCTCACGATATCTAAGTTAAAAGAAACTAGTGATGTAGATAGGGTAAATACCCAGTGGGTAGGTAAATAAAATTTGGGTAAATACCTGGGTAAATACCCAAATTTTATTTACCTACCCAAAACTGGGTATTTTTGATAAATGCATTATTATTTATACTTTAAATAATATTAAACTTCCCTATTAAACCTTATAAACATAAACGTACTAGAATTGTCTCTGAACGCACTTAATCGTGGAAAACCGCTTAATTGTTAACTCATAGACCAGGGTCGATAATTTTTGAAACCAAAAAAAATAACAGTAGGATGAAACCCATTGGAAAAGGAGAAAAATATAATAAAAATGAAAGGAAAAATAAATTACGGGTGATCTGACTTCGGGAAGTGGGAGGGGGGGTTTTAAGTGTAAAAAATGGTTTATCTCGATTTCCGGCAAAACTACAAGTCCTATGGAAAAAAGTTAAATGGCAAAGTTGTAGGTAATAAAAGGATCTACAACTTTTGTAATTACAATTTTTTTACATAACCTCAAAATTTTTGTGAAAAATTCAAAAAACCAAGTTTTAAATAATATTATCTAAGATCTAAGGTAGGTACTACTACAGTATACTTCACTATATTGAATAAAACTATTTATTGATTTCAAGCTATTTTTATGCAAGATTTAAATCGAAATACCCCTATAAATACCCTATTTGGGTAAATACCCGGGTAAATACCCTATTTGGGTAAATACCCGGGTAAATACCTGGGTATTTTACATCACTAAAAGAAACGCTTTCTTTTGTCATCCTGAAAATATGTTACTAGCTATGATTACTGACAGTCGTCGACACGTAAGGGAACTTGGTTTAAGACGAGTTTTGAAAGCAGGACAACATCAAGGAAATGCTATAGTTCGCGAGTTTGTAATTCCTAGTTTAAATTTTAGTGCTACGGAATATTACGATCTTCTTGACTGGCAAAAAAGTGATATTACAGTACCACCACTTTTGAAGAATTTGTCAGAAGAAGGCATAAAAAACTGATTGATGAACCAGCACCTTTATCCTTGGAGTTTCCTGAATTTCCTTGTCACACCCAATCGGTTGAAAGATGTGTGAAACTTGTCACAGAAGCTTCCGGTTCCGTCCTTGGGCTAGAAGCAAGAGATGGCTTCATTCGAACCAGAATTTATTCTAGAGGCATTTTACCAAAGTTTGACACAAAGGCCGAATATAATGTCGGAAAATAAAATGTTTCTTATTATTTAATAGCAATCGTCAAAAATATGTTTTTTCCAATTTTTTTTTTTGTATGATATTTTTGTTTTTATTTAGAATAAATGTTTTTATTTAGAATAAATGATTTTATTTAGAATAAATATTTTTCTTTAGTTAAAATATTATTTAACAAACACCTAGTTTTAGTTTTTTCAGGCTATATATAGTCTATATAGTCTATATAGTATAGATAAGAAACATAACATAATTTTCGTAGATAACAATTATCGGTAGAGCCCTGAAGATGTAACTAAATTAAAAAAACAAAAACACTATATTAATCGGCTTTATAAAAGGCAACTTTATTACGCTATTTCATATTTTAAATAAAAAAATGTAAAAATCACTACGCGTTTCGCTCCACCCTACTGTACACACTCGTCTTCATCAAGCGACTGTGTTTGCGAGTTTCCAATTTTCTTTGTTATGAATGCTTCTGTCCATTGTTCTTTTCTTCCCCCCTTTTAGTTGTATTTGTCTGTTTTGTTGTTGTTTAATTCTTTTAACAACCTCTTTTTCAATGTTGCTTCTATCAGTTGATGCAGATGATTTTAAAAGATTCCATCTAGTACGGGGTCTTTTAGAAAACCTTAAATAATCAGGAGATTCCTTTGTTGTGCAATGTTCTATGTTTCTATACTCAAATAGAAATCTAGAAAGTAGTGTATTTAAACTTACATTCTTGTTTTTCTTGTCCAGAATAACTGATTTTAGTTTGTTCTTTATTGTTTTTACTGTGTTTTCGGCTGCTCCGTTTGAATAGGCTGCGTATGGTGGATTTGTTAAGTGCTTTATTTCGTTTTGTTTTATGAAGTTTTTAAATTGGCCGGATTTGAACTGAGGTCCATTGCCAGAAACAAGTGTAGTTGGCAAACCATATCTTTCAAATGTTTCTCTTAACTTTTCTTCTGTTTCAGTGGTGGTGATGTTCTTCATAATAAAAGCTTATGGAAATTTAGAAAATGCATCAATAATTATCAAGATTTTAATTTTATTTAGTTCTAGAAAATCTATGTGTATTCTCTTCCATGCTTGAGTAGCTGCAGGCCAAGGTGTTAATTAACTTTTCTTAGGGTCACTTTGGTTTTTTAAACATGGAATAAATGATTTTATTTTATAATCAATATGTTTATCTATCTATCTGGGGCCACCAAAGGCAGTGGCGGCTGGTGGATTTTAAGTATACCAATATCTCAGTTATTAGACATGGGACCCACACCAAATTTATAATAGTTTATATTGACATTAAATAAACAAGTTCGGCGCAAACAGAATTTAAATTGAAGTTTGCGAAAAAAAGTTAGTTTTTCCTGTCGCCTACCCTGCCTCCAGGCCCCCCTATTTGAGATAATTCAAATTAAAGTGGTGCAATTTATTATCTACTATAATTTATCGACAAATTTAAAATTTTATTAAAAAAATCCAAATATTACAGATTTTATTCGATTTTAAATTTTTATTATTTATTTTATTAAAATAAAAAAATATTTCCAATTCCCCATTTTTCTGTTTGTATATACTTCTTGTAACAATTTGTCTTTCAGAGTTTCTTCTTTAATTTTATAGTTATCAACAGGCCACTCATTGCAATTTTCAGTGAAATATATAAATCCTTCCCTTTAGTATTCATCAGATAAAGTCTTGGTTTTTATTGGCATTCTGGAGAGCCAATCAGCTAAAAAATTTTCTTTACCATTTATATGATTAATGGTGTAGTCAAATCCACTGAGCCATATGCTCCATCTTTGTATTCTATCTTTGTGTCTATTTGGAATGGGTTTGTTTTTACCAAAAAGTCCCAATAATGGTTTGTGGTCCATATTTATTGTGAAGTGTTGTCCCTGAAGATAGTTTTGAAATTTTCTGATGGCAAATATTATTGCTAATGCTTCTAGTTCAATTACGCAATATTTCTTTACTTGTGGCATGGTCGTCCGGCTTGCGCATGCCACAATTTTGTCTCTCTTGTCCTCTTTGATGCTTAGAACATCTGATATTCCATCTGTTGATGCATCTGTAGTGAGAAAAATTGTTTTTTTGCTATCAAAAAAAGTTAGGGTAACATCTTCAGCAATTTTGTTTTTGATTGTATTAAAGGATTTTTCACATTCGTCGCTCCATATAAGTTTGGTATCCTTTTTGAGTAATTTATAAATTGGAATTAAAATTTGAGCTAATTTTGGAACAAATTTTGAATAATAGTTTACTAAACCAATGAATGATCTTACTTGCGTTATAGTTGTTGGTCGTGGGGCCTTTATAATTGCACTTATTTTTGTGTCAGTTTTCTTGATTCGTTCTTTGTTAATTTCGTGTTTCAAATATTCTACTGATTCTTTAAAAAATGAACATTTTTCTTTATGGCCAGCTTCTCTTAGTTTATGTGATTTTCTGTATTGTCTCCAGTTAATATAATATCATCTTGATACTTTTCCACACCAATCAAACCTTGTAAGAGTTTATCAATGTTTTCTTGAAATATGGATGCTGCTGGGGATATTCCAAAAGGCATTCTCTTTACCTTAAATAGTCCCTTGTGTGTTGACCATGTCATTATCATTTGGCTATCTTCACTTAATTCTAATTGCATATAAGCTTGGCTTAAATCTAATTTAGTAAATGTTTGACCTCCATTTAATTTGTCAAATATGTCCTCTATTCTTGGAAGTGGGTAGTCTACACGTTTCAAAAATTTGTTTACTGTTGATTTGTAGTCTTCACATATTCTTATTGTGTTGTCGGCTTTGATGACAGGAACTATGGGTGTCCCCCAATCGCTGGTAGTGACTGGTTCTATGATGTCTTGTTTAACCAAATTTTCTAGCTGTTTCTCAACTTCATTACAATAGACCAGTGGTACAGTTCGAGGCTTAAAGAAAATTGGAGTTGCATTGTCTTCCAACTGTAATTTAATTTTTTTTAGTTTAAATTTCCCTAGTTTATTAGTAAAAACATCGTCATATTCATTTAATATTTCAGGTTTTAAATTTTCAATACTACATATTGATTTAAAATTGTCAATACTTATTTTTGTCAATTAAAATATCTAAAGTAAAAGAATTGGTATTATTATTGGTGTTAATGTCATAAATATCTAAGACTTCAGATTCATTTACAGTTAAAGATTCATTAAATCTATCAATTTAATAATTATTGTTCTTTTTAAAACAAGCACTTGCAACATGACCAATTTTT